AGGTAGGTTTAGATAATATCAGAAGATTTGGTTAAGATACACAAATTGAAACACGAAGTGAACAACTTTATTATAACAGACATAGACACAATACAATATGTGTGTGTGTGTGTGTACTTGCTTTTCTAAATTCAACCATTTAAGTTGAATCCATGTACCAAACTAACTAAATACAACATTTCTTATTTTCATAAGAAACAAAACCTCTAGGTATCACTTGATCTACCATTGAAGGACACCACTGCTGGCAAAATCCTTGCACGACATGCAATATTGTAGCAATATAAAACAGATATTATGTACTAGAGAACAACAAAGGAACAAAAGCAACTAAAATGAAATTCACTTAGCAGCTTTCTTGACCATGTGTTATGTGAAACTTACATATATACAGAAAAAATGATAAATTTAAAATAAATACTATAATATTACAAGAAGATACAAATGCATGGTATATTTACATATCACACTTTTCTCTCTTCTCTACTTCAGACTTGTCCTCTAACTTACAATTGATTCTAACTTTAAAACCAGTAAAACTGACTTTTTCTCTACCCTGAAAACAAACATCACAACACTTGAACAAAAAAAAATGTGATTAATCACAGTTTCACCATAAAAATATCTTTTAACAGTTAATAAATTGCATAGTCAAAAACGCTTTAACTAGATTTCAAGCCTAATTTAATACATAATGAAATAATAATAAAGCAATCTTAATAAAAAAGAAAACACCTTGATGATATATTAACACGAAAATGAAACATTTTTAAACTGCCCCATCCCTCATCTTAGCAGTAAGACTATAGGCTTATAATGTTAAATATTGAGTTTCCATTATTCTAATAGTCACAGCACAGTCACAGTGAAGCTTTCCATTTAACAACAAACAAACAAAGCTTTTAAACAGTGAAATGATATATATATACTTAGAAAACCCTTTAACAAAGATTGTAAGTACACACGTATGTATAAAAAGTTTAACATAGAAAACTACATACTAAAATGATCTTTTAAGAATGATTATCAACTACTTTAGAAAGAGATTGTCTAACACGTTATACAGACAGATAAAATAAATCAAAATGAAAACCGTTTAACATGAATAGAGATTACTAAACACACCCTTTAATAAACAAATCATAACTTCAATATTATGCAAAATACCGTTACATAAATGGCATATTTCACATAAGATACGAAATACACCCTTCACAGTTACATAAAAGGAATAATACATAATAACGCTTTCAGTGCAAAATAAAAATAAACTAACCCCTCAAAAGACAATCACATAGAATATAATGTGTTTTATTAAATCAAAAACATGCATAAAATGAAACCCTTTATATGATTAAGCAAAACATAATCAAAACAAACACTTCTTCCACTGAAGTTTGGTTGTTAGGTAAAGTTCTTGGTTCCTAGTGGAAAGGAATGGGGAAAGGAAAGGACTGCAACACTGGTTCTTACACACATGAGCTGACTCTTAAGTCTGGCCATTAGAATCCACAAATATTTAAGTTGTCTTTATCTTAGGAACATTTTTACAGTTACAAGTTTAATACCAGCTTTGGTGCAATTTACAAAGTTTTTATTATATGGGCGTTACCTTCCATTTCCCCAAGTACAATTACGGTCTGTAATGAAACAATGTTTAGAAAATGTTTAAAAAACTGTGTCTTTTACTAAACATTTCAATCTCTATTATTAAAAATGTCATATCCATATAAAACAGTGGGTACACCAAATTTACATTTGTTATGATATTTAAGCTACTGTATATAAATTTCATATACTTCTGTACTTTTACCCATTCGTAAACATTTTGATTTGATCTTGTGGATATATCAAGCACTACTATTACTGAAAATCATAGGTACAACTGTTACCCACAAACATAGTGTGAGTTTCTCTGTTACTTTTATCCTTCCATAAAAATTCATTTTATGCCAAATATTTCAATGTAAAAATTATAACACTCTTACATAAGAATTAATTAAAATATGAATTTATATTGTATCTTCAAATAATGTCTTGTAGGTCAGTAATCACAGTTAACCTCATATCACAAGGTCTTAGCATCCGGATCAAGTTCTTTCTTTCCATTAATATATTGATAAATAGTAGTGTTCATTATATATTTTATCCATTCATGTTATACATCACTCACAAATGATTTCATGTAATGTTTGTACATCTGTGTAGGACCACACGCATGTATTTACTTATACACATATATCTTCACTATAGATTGTGACACACTAATAGCTTACAGTAGACTGCCTTGGGCTCCTTATTAAATTATTCCTCAACCATCTTGGGTTACTTTTGTGAAGATATTTCTTGGTAGCTTGGTCTAATAGTTAGGAGTCAAACTACTCTACACAAGTTTGTCTTTTTCAGGCATCACAAAATAAGTAATAACTAAAAGAATTCTGCAAACTGAGATTTTTAGCTAAAAGTCTTGAAAAGTAGTATTAATATTTGTGTTGTTACTATAGTATATATCAATATGCACTCAGCCAAAACAGAATTCCTCATTGCATATGGAGAATGTATACACCTTTCAGGTGCACTGAAAAATGCCTAGTAAGTACCTTGTGGTATTTTGTGTAGACCTCTCACCACTCAGCTAAGATAAGTGATTCTCTTAAAACATCTATAATGTTTTTGCCTCAGAAAAATCACTTATTAGCTCGGAAAGCAAGGGTCACCAAGCCTTTTCAACTGAGTTTTCAAACTTCTAACTATAATCTTCAGTAGTGTAAACTGTTGATGCACTAGGTATTAAACCTATTAGCACCAGTTCTCCTCAATTGTGTTAACTGAGCAGCTATTATCCAATACCATATGGTTATCTCTTATAATAAAACTCTTCTTCATAACTCAGAAAGGAAGGGTCACAACACCCTTTTGGTCCCATTAAGATTGTGATTAACAAACTGTCAACATGTTTTCATAATGTAATTCCTATATTTCATCATGAACTACCATCTAGAGCTTGGAAAGAAAGGAATGCCAACCATTATAGCTACCCAGCACATCTTTGCTGGGAACTCCCTCATCTGATTTATCTAGCACAGCCAGGTAAAATACTTTCAGGATCTTTCTCCTCTTCATCTGAGCTGAGATGATGTGTAACATTACTATAATCATCTTCTGATTCGACAGTCTCGACATCTGGTTCCTGGTCATGCCAGTGCACTAGAGGCTGGCCAGTAACGTATGGCCACAGTTTGACTATGTTCTCTAGAATTTTATTTACGCCACAAAATTTTTTTTCTTCTTATATTTCAATGGACTGGTCTATCAGGGCATGAAGTAAGGACCATTCCAACAGAACCAAGCTCCCTCCATGCCATTGATATGTACCAAACCCATATCCACTTTCTACAATGGAATTTATGTTCCTTAAATGTTTTCTTGTGACGTCTCTTCTGCAGCAAAGCAGCCTTCCCTAACTGTTCACATGCAATAACATGTATATTTACCAATGCAGAACTTAGCTACTCGACATATTCTTGTGAACACCACAGAAAATCTACTCTAGGAAAGGACTGTACATAAATCACATCCACAGGGAGCAAAACTTCTCGAACAAACACGAACATTTTTTCTTTGTTTTTAAACACAAATATACACAATGGGTTACCTATTCTCTGTCGACCATGGGTATAAAAACCCGACTTTTAGCATTATAAGCCCCCAGTTCTTACTGCTGAACCACCAGGAGGTAATAGCTTGAAATCAAAACATTTGATAATTGCATGTGCATACCAGCAAATTTAAACAGAAATTGTTATCTTACAGAATCTAACAGTTTAGAAAAAGAAACTTATAAAATTGTTTATGATCATTTACAAATGCCTTAATGTTACCAATTAATCTATGTTTGATGTACTTGATTTTAGAAATGCAAAACTTTTTAAGTAGAAAAACGAAATAATACTACTGTTTATTTGGAAAGTGACATAAACATATCATTTTTAAGTATATTCACATTCCATATTGTATTTTTAGCGAGAAAATTGCAACAACAGGTATTTCCAAGAAACCTTAATTTATCAGGCTTTGTTCATTCTTCAGTGGAATATCGACATGTCAGCTAGGGAACATAAAGCATCTACAAAAAAAGATGTGGATGAAAGAAAGTTGATGTTGTCGTTTTCTTTGTGGTATGCTATACAATTGGCTGTCTGCATTCTATTCACTGCGGGAAATCGAACCCTGGAATTTAGGATCTAAAAAGTATTTGGTAAATTTAAGTCGTCCATTGGTCCCCTTTGAAAGAAAAGACTTGATTGTGATGTTTTTTATTTGTAAATGTAATTCAATAGAATCTTAAAAAAACTAAATTGACAGCATAGACCATTACAAATTTATGATATAGAAGAGAAAAGATTTTGTCAAAAAAATAACTCGTTACTTAGCTTTCTAAGGATTGTAACTGTAATATTTTACATGACCTTACATTCTACTGTGTGTTAATCCAAGAATAAATCAAGCACACTGTTACTTGATCTTCACAAGAACTAGTTTTAAGAACCTAGGATATAGAAGGATTGAGGTATTGATTTGTAGTGGTCAAATGAAGGCAAGACTTGATATGAAGGCAAACAAATAAGTAAACACTTAATTGGCAAAGAAACTTCAGTTGTGAGTGTCTTTTACAAGCTGGAGAAGTATGATTCTAATTATAATTGTCATAAGACATGGTCAGTATAAACAGTGTTCCGACAACAACTATGTTTCCTGTATCCCAGTCGACCTAAAGAGCTCTTAATTGGGCGAAACGCGTCGTCGGCGATGGATATATGTCAAATATATATTGTGGTTGGAATACTATTATTATACACTCTTCTAATTCTTGAAAATCCCTAAGATATTGTTGTGTTTAAAATATATAATAGGTCTAATAATAATAAAACATTCGCAATACAAATGAATACATTTTAATATATCAACAATTAAAAACGTTTTTTTTTTTCAACTAACAGAATTTAAGGGCCGAAGAGGAGAAAGATTGTATAAACAAGTCCCAGTCATTTGATCTCGCCAGAGGCTTGAATCAGTATTTTAGCACATTAGTTATCAAAGAGATGGTATATACTGATACAGGAAAATATACATGCTATTATGAAGGTACAATTTCACCTGGAAATAGCAGAGAAAACAGTACTTCCTTATACGTGTTTGTGAATGGTAAGATTGTTTGTTTTTGTTTCTTTACAAAAGAAAATATTTGCGTAGCTCTATTCATTTTATTCTTTTGTATGATACAAAGGTTCTGAAACCCATAAAAGTGCATTAAATTCAAGTGTGCATGGCTGAGAAAGCCATTTTTTCATTTGAGACATTATGGGACGTATTTTGAAATCATCCCTTGTAGTTTTAAGCATTTTAAAGGGTTAGTGAGTGCCCTAACATAGGTAAGCGTCAAGTGCTAGGGGTCGTTGAATAAGTTCTTAATTGTATAATCAATTCAGTAGGTTTGGTCCATGGCTTTATTGATAACTTTGAGTGATTTTATTTTTAAGTAAAGTATTTTGACAAGACTTATAATTTAAATTATAGATATTCATTTTAAAGAGAAATGCCTTGAAAACTGTTATGGACCAATATATAAATACGGTCAGTTTTTGATTATGTTTAGTGTAACTTACAGTTACAGCAGATCACTTTAATTATTAGTTATAAGATTTGAGTAACTATTTGAAAAAATGCAGAAAAATAATTTACCATAATTACTTAAAACTGTTATAATAATGCTTCAATTCTCACATCAAATAATATTCTACTTTCTTGTAAATCAAATAATTTTCGTTTAATTTTCTTGAACAATACAAGTGCTTTTAATGCACCTTAAATATCTTAGTACTGATAAATACAGAGGGTTAATCAAATTTTGTTAAAGCAGTTTGCTAATACAGTAGCATGCTGCATAGATGAGTAAAGTCTCCAAATACGATATGTTTAGCACCATTATAGTTGGATTACAGCAAATTCACAATTGGATAAGGCTCATGTTCTAGAAGCATATGTTTCGGCCTTTTCTAAAGGAAATACGTTCTTAAAGTGATATTGTTACGAAATATAAAGCCAAAGAACGCATATTTCGAAAGAGGTTGCCTTCAGTGTTATCCACGATAACAGAAATATTTCCACAATATAGTTAAGAGGATAATAGTGAGTTCTAAAGCCACACAGCCAATTTGGATCAATATCCTCATATAAAAAATGAAGACAGTGGTTAAGCAAAAGAACCTTGTAACCCATAAGCTTTTTGTATTAAATTGGGCATGTCTTCTGGTACTGATAGCAATATAATAAAACTTGATGATGATGCAGACTTACTTCTAGACATGCCTCGAAATCAGTGCTGTTTTCTTGAGAAAGATATATCTAAAAAACTGGAGCTTCAGTGATCCCATTCAACGTAAAAACTTTCGAGTCCTCTGGTGTGGCTCCAATTGATTTTTGTGTTGATGGTTAACTTAAAAGTGGTAATAGAAGTTGATGTCCATGTACAGTGGAAAGTTTGTCAAAATGTATTGTTTCAGATTGGCATTGCTATTCGTCGCTGTGTTGTTAATCAATAATATTTTGTAAGCTATATTTTTCAAGTTTTGATTTAGATGTTTGCTAGAAGAAGATTATGACCATTATGATGATGTAATAATCTAGAAGTTTCGACTAATATCTAGATTAGTGCATTAGTAATAAATATGAATAATGAGTAATGAAGAAGCGTTCAGTGGTTAATAGTTCATTGAAGTATTCATAGTTGAGGAATCGAGTAGTTGTTGGTCGAGAAAAAAATTACTCGAATAAAATTATTCAGTAACAATTAATGTTTCTGTATGCTCATCAGTTAGTTAGTCAGCATTTTATATCAATCAAGGAATTTTGTGCTAATGATTACTGACGTATTAGTCAAAGTGAACGTGGCATGTAACGAACGTTATTGAAGAAATAGGTTAATTCGTTATCATTACATGGACTGGGCTCGGTATCATGTTTACCAAATAATCCAAACGAACTCTATTAGAGATAGAGTCCATTGCAACTATGTGTATTAAGACCATCAAATTGGGCATGATCTACAGTAGAAGAAGTATTTGTAATGGCAACATCAGACTTGGAATATTGTTCTTATTATATGTGATTAAATCTCAGTGTGATAAAGATGTTAGTATTTCTTATCAAGTGCCAAGAACTTATGAAGTTGATGGGTCTAATATTTCAACCTGTGTTATTGATTACATTTTGGTTTATGTATTTTTCACCACACAGTAAGAACTATGTGTATAAAGAATGTTTTTCATCTCTATATTATTAATATCAATATATGTGTGAAGAAAAGAAAAATTTATATTTTCTTGAGAATATGTTAATATGGTATTACTAGAATGAGATTTCTAAATCATATTTGTTAACTACGTTATTTGCAGTATTTGGATAATAATATATAATAATGTAATTTATTTCATTTTTTTTGTCTTTCAGACGACTCTCATATATTTTTGCCGCATGACCAAAATTATATTATGCTTGTTTCTCCACCTAAGCCTTTAAAACTTTCTTGTCTACCTACCAATTCTAAGGCAAATATTACCCTTGTAAAGATTGGTAATGGAGGTAATGAAATAATTCCAACTGGAGAGGAAGTTTATTTTGATCCAACCCAAGGATTTACTGTTAATCACCCAACTACTAATTATGATGGAAGTTTTGCCTGTTTTGGTCAACTAGGCAATTTCAATGAAAGCTTTCACTTACATCTTATATACATGCGTAAGTACAGATTTTTTTCAACCCTAAATTGTTATGTTAATTCTAAGCTTTCGTTCCGTTGTTTTCTATAATTTGTATATGTATGCATATAAGTCGTATTATCAGTTACACAGGTTTCCTGTTCATACAAGAGTAGTAAATGCAAGTACCAGAAAGTTCAACAGAAAATGTATCGCAGATTAAATCTGAAACTTAGACCATGATTGAAGTAAAATAAGAAAGAGACTGGACAAAATGTTTAAAAAAAATATATACAAAGTTTTTTTTTTTAAAATCAAAAGAATCAAAGGTAGACGAATACACTATACGATTAGTGAAGTCTTCTGGTCACAGAACTAAAGTACTGAATTATCTAGTGTGTTCTCCAGATACTCTGTGATAAATTGTCCATAAAGTACAATGACCAAGTAAAGATCTCAATATCATCATTTTTCACAATATGGCTTAATTACCAATGTCACTGCGGGTTAGCCCAAAAGCAAAACTGAGAGAATAAATCCTGGAGGTACAACAAGATTCGCCAGTGGTTAATAACACTGTCAACACGTATAAAGTGTTTTCCACTATGCATATCTGTGGAAATATTTCTCATAACAGAGCACATGTGGAACCAAATAAAAATAATCCAAGACATGTGTAACTAGAGAATCAAAAATTGCCAAGTTTAGTAGCCAATTCTACAGTGTTAATTAAATGTGTATTATTATAGTATAATAAGGAGTTTATCATATAACACTACAGTGCTGTGTAGATGTTTTAAGTAAACTTTAAATTTAAAAATGACATGGACGAATTTTTTTTAGGGCAGTAATAATATCACCATTGCTACATATAGTTAATGCGATTATGATATTTAGAGTTAGATGAGGGTTACATATAAGAAAATAGCACACAATTAGAATGTTTGACTAAGGTGTAGGCTTATGTCTAAGAGTCTTATATTATTCGAAATAGATTTCTTTGTAGTTAAGCACAAAGCTACATAAAGGGCTATCTGTACTCTGCCGACCACGGATATTGAAACCCGGTTTCTAGCGTTGTTATTCCACAGACATACTGCTGTGCCACTGGGGAGGGGGGGGGCACTAAAATAAGAAAATGTATTATAATATGCAGAGGAGATACTTGGTGGTCCTCTGGATTAGAAACAAATTAAAATTTAGATAGGTAATTAAATGACGATTTTATGTTTAGTCATTCATGGAGTCCGACTCAGCTCAAAGTCAGATCTTTATTCCATGATATAGTATTTAATTGATCTCCTGTTTTTTTATCCTATCTGGTTACTCTGAAGAAAATCGGTGAATCTAAAAATGCCACACTGACAAAACCCTTTGGCCATCTAATGTAGAACTATTAGTGTGTGTTTATTATATTCCAATAACTCAAGAAGCCAGTGTAGAAGATACAATTTGTATTCTGCTGCAGAAGAAGAACTGATGCAGGCCCAAAAGACTGAGATAAACAACCAACACTACCATATATTGTTTCAGTCATTATTTATATTATTACACTTTAACATTTGAATAGTTTTCTTTTATCTGCCTACTTTATGACATATATATATATATATATATATGGTCACTTTCACAATCTAGTTAACAGCTGCGAAAGCAGTCACTTAGTACGTAAAAAATCATTCATTCATAACATGGAAATTAATATTATGGTTGATAATACATCTATAAAAAGTTGATGATACGAGGCCTGTGAGAAAAGTATCCGACCTTTGGCCGGGGAATAAAAACTGGCATACCTGGAGCGTTAGAAACCTAATCACCCTC